CAGTCAGCTAACTTTGGGAGGTGAAAACTACTAATTTTTAGTGAAATAATGGTGTTACTTTAGCAGGTTTACTTTTAAATGGCTTCTTAACTCTAATGCAACTTTACCACTCTGCGGATTTGGCTCAAAATCTTTTAAACTTGTGCTGTGGCAATTTGAATTTTCCTGTCCCTTGGCTGTTGTCTGTGATTATTTCCTAATCTACTGTTAATCAAAAAAGGCAAAAAACTGATATTATATCTCATTAATTGTTAAATATATGTATCAGTAGTACCCAGTTAAAGTTCTCCCTTATTTGCATTTTGCTGAAAATACTGGGGTTTGTAATGCAGTTTGTTTTCCAGGGACCTATGTAAATTTTTTTTAGCATCTGTGAGATACCAACCCACTTCAGTAGTTTGGACTGATCTGTAGCAGTCCACACTGAGGAAAAAGGTGAGAGCAATTGGGTTCAACTATCTATTTAGACTAATTGACCTCATCTCTTGTGTCTTTGGATTGACACCAAGGAATGTTAATAGCTTTCTGGTGCAAGTTACGATCCAGAATGTCAGAGAGGTTATGTTGTGATGAAAAAACAAGCTTCTTTGATAGTTGAAAATGAAACATAAAAATCAGCACTCATTCTGGATGGGAAGAGATGTATCTACATAAATTTTTAGGAGAACTTTATAATTGGTTACACTGAAGATGCTCATGTCGGTACTATCTTTCTCCCTCAATTTGAATAGATGCATCAAATGCTGCAACATCTGTGGAGGGAAAGAGAGTTCAGTGAGATTTGTTTTGCAAATTACATTGTTTTGTGTGGCATAAAAATTTAAAAATGCAGATTTAATGTAGGCTGTAGTATATTGTCTGGTTGATCAGCAAAGTAGTTTTCGACAATTTGTGGGGTCCAACCCAATTAATGAAATCTATTGTGCAAGTTTCTGTTACCACATACCTCATTTATACTGGGGCTAACGGCACCTGCTTTTCATCATTCATGCTGGAGCCTTTCTTAATACCATGGAAAGGTCTATATAGTCTGGTGCAGGTATCTCCTGTTTAAAGTGCATTTTTATAGTGTTTTTATTTTAGCATTATTTGTAAATTAGGGAGGTTCCCTGGATAGTGTTGGCTCCATTTTTGTTGTGGAGTGATTACTGCTTACGTTCAGTCCATTTTTTTTTTAAAACAAATATCTGCTTTGGTTGTCACCTCTTCCCACGCGTTATTCTTTCCGTTTGCCACTTCCAGTTTTTCCTGAATGCTTGCCGCATCGTTCTCAAGCTCTCATTGTGAATGAGGTAGCAAGAGGTAAACAGGGAGCAGGAGGTAAGTAGTACATTTCAAAGAGTTAGTATGGGGACTTGTTTTTGGGCCTATTGATTTTAAGGCAGCCAACAGGATGGTTGGAATCGAGGGAATGTATAAGGGAGGCTCAACTCTCTGAAGTCCAAAGATCATGGGCCCTGTACTGAGGAAATCCTGTATTGCTGGAGGTGCAACTTTCACATGAAATCTTAAATTGAATCCCTGCCTGTCTGTTCAGGCGGATGTGGAAAAAATCTGACAGTTGCTCATGGCCTGCAGTTATCTTTTGACTAAAACCATAAGAATAGAGTAACTGGTCATTTGTCGTCTTTTGTTACTTGTAGGACCACTTTTTGTATGCAAATTTGATGATGTATTTGAATTGCCTTAAAGTTATTCATTGTTTGTGAAGTGTTGAGGGCCACAAAAGATGCTCTGTGAGTAAAAGTTATTCATGTCTCAGTGATTAAAGATTGTGCCTGGGGAAATAATAATGGAGAACCAGGAAATAGCAGAGGAGTTGAATTTTTTTCTTCACTCATGGGATATGGACATTGCTGTTAGCACTTATTGCCTGTCCCTTGAGAAGGTGGTGGTGAGTTGCTGCTTTGGACTGCTGTAGTCCATGTGCTGTAGGTTTACCCCCAATGCTGTTCAGGAGGGAATTCCAGGATTTTGACCGAGTAACAGAGAAGGAATGGCGATATTTCCACGTCAGGATGGTGAGTGGCTTGGAGGGAACTTGCAGGTGGTGCTGTTCCCATGAATCTACTGCCCTTGCCCTTCTAAATGGAAGTGGTCATGGGTTTAGAGGGTGCTGTCTGAGGATTTTTTGTTGCGTTTCTGCCATGCATCTTGTAGGTAGTACACTGTGCTGCTATGGAGAGTTGGTGGTGGAGTAGGTGGATGTAATGCCATTTAAGCAGGCTCCTTTGTCCTGGATGGAGTTGAGCTTCTTGAGTGTCATTGAAGCTGCAGTCATCCTGGCAAGTGGGAAGCATTTGATCTCGTTCCTGACTTGACCATGATGAACAGACTTTGAGGAGGCAGAAGTGAGTTCCTCTCTGCAGTATTTCTAGCCTCTCACCTGCTTTTGTAGCCACTGTGTTTAGGTGGTGAGTCCGTTTGAGTTTCTGCTGAGTGGTAACGTCCAGGATTTGATAGTAGGGAATTCAGTGATTGTAACACCATTGAATGTCAAGCTGCAGTGATTAAATTGTTTCTGTCTCTTATTGGAGAAGGTCATAGCCTGGCATTTGTGTGGCGCGAATGTTACTTGCCACTTATTAGTCCAAGCCTGAATATTGTCCAGATCTTGTTCATTTGAATTTGGACTGTTTCAGTATCTGAGGAGTCGTGAATGGCACATTGTGCAGTCATTGGCAAACATCCCCACTTTTGACCTTATGATGGAGTGAATGTCATTGGTGAAGCTGCTGAAGATCGTTAGGGCAGTAACACAGGCCCAAGGGACTCCCTGTAGAGATGTCCTGGAGCTGAGATTACTGACCTTCAACAACCAGGACTGTCTTCCTATGTGTCAGGTATGAGTCCAACCAGCAGTGAGTTTGCCCCCAAAACCCATTGATTCCCATAGTTTTACTGGGGCTCCTTGGTGTCACACTTGGTCAAATGCAGCCTTGATGTCAAGGGCTGTCACTCTCACCTCACCTCACCTTACCTCTGGAATTCAGCTCTACTGTCCATGTTTGAACCAAGGCTGTAATGAGGTCAGGAGCTGAGTGGCCCCAACGGAACCCAAACTGGGCGTCACTGAGCAGGTGCTGCTTGACATCACTGTTGATGACACCTTCCATCACTTTACTGAAGATAGAGAGTAAACTGATGGGACAGTAATTGGCTGGGCTGGATTTGTCCAGCATTTTATGAACAGGACATAACTGGCCAATTTTCCACATTGTTGGGTAGATCCCAATGTTGTAACTGCACTGGAACAGCTTGGCCAGGGGAGCGGCAAGTTCTGGAGCACAAGTCTTCAGCACTATTGCTGGAATGTTGTCAGAATAAATACTTTGCACCAGTCTTCACAGTAGAAGACACTAAGCTCAGTTATTTACAATATGCATTGTTGAGCAAAGTGAATGTACTACAGTCAAGTTTGCAGATGCTTACAAATACATGGGAAAGCAAGTAATGGGGATGACACAAAGTTTGCAGAGGAATATAGACAGGTTAAACAAGTGGGCAAAACCTGCGCAGATTGTGGGAAAATGTGATCTTTTGCACTTTAGTGGGAAGAATAGAGGATTTGAATGTAATTTAATGGAAAAAGACTGCAGAAAGCTACAGAACAGAGGGATTTGGGAGTCCTCTACCATGACTCTCTCAAAAAAAAAAACTAGCACCAATGTGGTAGGAAAGAAGGCAAATGGAGCACGTATTTCAAAGTGAATGGATAATAAAAGAAGGGAGGTTTTGCTAAAACTATAAAAGGCATTAGTCGGATAAGCATCTTAAGTACTGTGAGCTGTTTTTGGCCTTTTATTTAAGGAAAGATGTACTGTCATAGCTGGCAGTTCAGAGAAGGTTCACTGAGCCAATGCCAGGTGTGGAGGCACTGACCGATGAGTTGAGGTTGAGTAGTTTGGGTGCACAAGATTCTTAGGGGATTTGACAGAGTGGATGCTGAAAGGTTATTTCCTCCTGTGAGAGAATCTAAGACCAGAGGATTAATCTCAGAATAAGGGGTTGCACATTTATGACCGATAAAGAGGAATGTCTTCTTTTAGAGGGTTGTGAATTTGGAATTCTGTGCCACAAAGGTCTGTAGAGGTCTGGGTCATTAAGTATGTTCAAGGCTGAGATAGATTTTTAATCAGGAAGGGAATCTAGAGTTATGGAGAAAAGGCAGGACAGTGGAATTGAGGGTTAAAAGATCAGCCATGCTGTTGTTGAATGGCGAAGCAGCCTTGATGAGCTGAATGGCTTGCTTCTCCGACATCTTATGCTGAGTACCCAGGAAATTTGAGCTAGAGTAATATGGGCCAAATATTGGCAAATAGGACTAGGTCACATTGGGGTGTGCAAGTCTGTTTCTGTGCTGTATGACTCTGACTCTATAACAGAAAATGATTGATAGATTATCAACAAATGATGGTGACTACATTTCGCCATTTCTCTTGACAGCATTAAAAGAAACTACAAATCCAACAGGTTTTTAATACTTTAAACCTGCAACTTTTGTGTTTACACAGTTATCAAGGGAGTGTGTTGTAGGGGTGAGTTGGAATTTGAAAATGGCAGAGCGTAACTATCCGAATTAACTGTCAGTGAGCAGGTTTGCAGAACTACACTGGGGTCGTAAGAACTGCCAAAGCTAGTCAGAGATAACACAGTGTGGAGCTGGAGGAACACAGCAGGCCAGGCAGCATCAGAGGAGCAGGAAAGTTGATGGTTTTGGGTCGGGACCCACTACACCACTGTGTTTTCCAGTATTGAAGAGTTTTAGATTCCTAAATTTTAATTGAGTCATTTGAAAACAAAGGATTAAAGCCGCTTCTTCATTGAAATTAAAATTAGGTTTGCAGGTACTGTTTGAATCATGTTTCTGGTGTGTGTTTTCATTTTGATTTAATGTAAAGGACCCACTGTAGTGTTACTGACAGTAGTGAAAGCTTTTCCCAATGGTCATATCAAATGAGCCCACCAGATTGAGTCCCATGTGTTTTTTTTTCCTCCAGAGCTTATAAAACGTGGTTTTGCTTCATACATGCAAGACTGATGTCCAGCCTTTGGTCAGGTTAGTGTGATTTGATTTATTATTGTCACATGTACCTAGGTACAATGAAAAGTTTCATTCTGCATGCAGTACAGGCAGATCATATCATACAAAGTGCATAAGGGTAATAGCACAGAGCGAGGAATACAATGTTAGAGCTGCAAAGAAGGTGCGTGAACATTAAATTTAAAAAAGGGTTCCACTCAGAAATCTATTAACAGCAGGGAAGAAGCTGTTCTTGAATCTGTTGGTACGTGTTTAAGATTTTGTATCTTCTGCCCAATGGAAGAGGTTGAAACAGTTATAACCAGGTGGGCGGGGTCTTTGATGTTGGCTGCCTTCCCAAGAAGTATAGATCGAGTCAATGGATGGAAAGCTGGCTTGTGAGATGGACTGGGCTGTGTTAACAATTCCCTGTAGTTTCCTACAGTCCTAGGTGGAGCAGTTACTGTACCAAACCATGGTGCATCCAGATAGAATGCTTTCTATGGTGCATCTATAAAAATTGGTAAGAGTCTTTATAGATGTGCTGAATTTCCTTAGCCTCCTGAGGAAAGCTGTTACTTCCTCAGGAGGATAAGGAAATTTGGCATGTCCGTAAAGACTCTTACGAATGATGAATAAAAGAGAAGCTTTTATTTCGCATTTCATATCTTCTTTTTCTGCTCTTAAATCATGCTGATGCTTGCTTGTGATCTGCATTCACATAGATGAACCTGAGCTGTAAGTACAGCATGTTAGAGAAGAGATTTTCCTATATTATGTACATTTTCACAATTTGTTTTAGTACTATTTTCAAAATGGCAAAAATCAAAGCGGTAAGCTGTTGCTGTGTCAAGTGTGTTTTTGTGAGCTGCTACACAGTAATGCTGCAGCTATGTTCGAATCTCATTTTCTTCAGTATCACCACGCATAACCGCAGCTAAACTTTCAACTCTCATACCAACCATTTTATCGACATTCAATAATAGCTTCTTTTTTCCTGAAGCAGTTTTGTGCGACCGTTGTTTATGCTTGCTAAAATGAACAATTTGTGTGTCCAACTGGAAGAGGAATATGTTGCTTAGTTACCTTGCCAAATATCGCACATTGTTTTTGTGTAAACATGTTGCTTTGTAGCTTCCTTTGTAATTATCAGTAGCTATATGTATTTTCATGCAGTACGCTTTCCTAATGTGAGCCTGGACTGGGTGTCATTTCTATCTCATAGCATATATTTAGAACAGTTTAATTTTAAAAATTACATTGACAGAATAATTAAGGTAATTTTTTTTCTTTCAAATACTCTTTGGCAGTTTATTTTTAGAAAGAGGATAAGTTGCAGATCTTGATAATAGGACTTTATTAGGTGTGACCTTGCAGTTGGGAACTGAGCCTTTGTAAGCTAGAACAATAGTGAAAAGCAGCCACCACCACAATGAAACAAAGAACTACAGATGCTGGAAATCCAAAACAAAAATTGGAAAAACTAAAGAAACTCAGCAGTTCTAGCAGCATCTTTAGAGAGGAAAAAGTTAATGTTTTGATTTGTCATCCTTCGGCAGAACTGAAAGCAGCTTGGGAAAGGTAGTATTTATGCTGATGACGGGCTGGGGGTTGGTTTGGTGGTGGCAGGGGGGGTGTGGTGAGACAGAGAGAGAGGAGAGAGTAGAATGCATCGAGGCAGCACCGAGTGAGGGGGAAAGAAAGACCAAGGGATTGCTGTTGATGAGCTGAGAGGGAGATTATGGTAAGTAGGGTGCTAGTGAGAAGTGAGAGTTGTTGAAAATGGATTGGTTTCTGCTGGGAGCAGCCCATGCAGAACAGGACGTCAGGGTATAGAGGTTGGTAAACATGGAAGAGGGTGAAATTTCACAATCTGAAATTATTATATTCAGCGTTGAGTCCTGAATGCTGTAAGATACCTCAGCATTTGACAAGGTACCTCAAAATAAAGGTTGAGATATAAGAGCCCATGGTGTTGGAGGTAATATGTTGGCATGGATAGAGAATTGGCACATGGTCAGGAAACAACGAGTGGAGATAAGGTGTTCTTTTTCAGGTTGGTGACCTGTGGGGTTCCACAGGGATTAGTGCTTTGACTGCAAAAGTTTACAATATATATTAATGACTCGGAGGAAGGAAGTGAATGTACTGTCGCCAGATTTGCAGATGATGCAAAAATGGGTAAAAAGGCAGATTGCAAGAAGGATGCAAACAGTTTACAGGGAGATATTAATAGGGAGTAAGTAAGTGGACACAAAAGTTAACAAATGGTATATAATGTGGAAAATGTAAAGCTGTTCATTTTGGAAGGGAGAACAAAAGGACAATATTGTTTAATGGATAAAAACTGCAACACAAAGGGGCTTGGGGGTGTTTATGCATGAAATACAGACAGCTAGCACACGGGTACAGCAGGCAATTAGGCAGGCTAATGTTGGTCCTTGTTTGGAGTTTTAGCGTAGGGAAGTCTTCCTGCAAATGTACAAGGTGCTGGTGAAACCACATCTGGAGTACTGTGTACAGTTTTGGCCCCTTTATTTAAGGAAAGATATCATTTCATTGGAGGCAGTTCAGAGAATCTTCACCAGGACGATCTCTGGTATGGACGGATTGCCTTATTTATGAGCAAAGGCTAAACAGATTGGGATTGTACTGACTGGAGTTTAGAAGTGATCTCATTGAAAGACACCAAATTTTTAAGGGGCTTGACAGAATAAATGCTGAGAGGATGTTTCTCCTCCAAGGAAGGGAGAGTCCAGGACCAGAGCGTATAGCCTCGGAAAAAAGGGACACCAATTTCGGACTAAGATGAGGAGGGATTTCTTCTCTGAAGTTGAGAATCTTCAGAACTCACTGCCACAGAGCGCTTTGGGGCAGAGTCCTCGTGTACATTTAAGGCCGAGATAGATTCTTGATCTGTTGGGGAATCCGGGGTTACAGGGAAAACACAGGAAAACGGACATGAAGAATATTGGATCAACCATGATACTTTGAATAGTAGAGCAGGCTCTCGGGGCTGAACAACTTATTCCTGTTACTGTTTCCTGTGGCCTTACTCCTCCCCTAGTCTCAACACCACCTCACACCCCCACAAAACCACCTCATGCAATCACAGAAGGTGCAACACTTCCCCTTTTCCTTTTCCCTTGTCACTAACCAAGGCCTCAAATACCTTTCAGGTGTAGCACTGAATCTTACCTGCACTTCGTTCAATCTGGACTACTATGTTTGCTGCTCACAGTGGCTTCCTCTATATTCTGTTTTTGATGCTGCACTAAATTAATGATCCAGGAGGTGTCAATAACACAATGGTGAGAAACTGTCAATACATTGTGGAGCTGGAGGAACACAGCAGGTCAAGTAGCATCAGAGGAGCAGGAAAGTCAACATTTTGTATTTACACATTTACGAAATGTCAACTTTCCTGCTCCTCTGCTGCCTGACCTGCTGTGTTCCTCCAGCTCCACGCTGTTGACTTTAACTCCAGATTCTACTGTTCTTGCTATCTCATGGTGAGAAACTATTCCCTCCAGGGTATCTCTGCTTACTTGTTTCCAGAAGACCAGTGGATCCTGATTATTACACTAGTTGTCTGTGCAGTTTTCATCAATGTTAAATCTGCAGTGTAAATGTGGTTTAAATCTCTTAGTGTTTTAGTTAAACTAGACTGTTGCAGTAGCCTACTTTGTTTTCCTTACAGTGATTGAAGCTGTTTTGCTGTACAGTGTGATGGGTGTACAGGAACAGGTTTCTTTATGAATGAGCCCTTGACCTGCTGATATAATCCTTCCCAAAACTAATGGCTTTCACCTAGCTCTTGCCACAGGGTAATCCTAGTGATTCACTGTATAAGGGTTGATCAAAGCAAGGATTATGTGACAGCTAAATCTTTAGGGCTGATTGTTAATTGTACAATTGCTGTTTGATGTTCTACTGTAAGATTTTGGGTACTTTTTTGGTACATGAAAAGCAAGAGTTGTCATGCTTCTGTACGAAACGAGGCAAGATTCTTCAGACAGCTAATTCTAATTAACATGGGTCCTCCAAAGGAATATATCGAAAAACTATTTCTTGTGTGTTTGCTATTTTAAAGCTAAATAATTTTTCCTTGAACAAAATTAAGTTGACTGTGGAAGTTTGCAACCTAATATAAAACCAAGTTCACTCTGTCAAGAATAATTTTTATATTAAAAAAAAGACTATTGTATTTGTTTAAACAATGGAAGGGGTAGTAAGATTTCTCTATTGAGTTTAAAATGCTCCCGTTTATATTCCAGAATAAAACAAACCAAAAATATATTGGCTAACAGGCATTTGCTGCAAATCCCCTTTTTGACTTGCACTCTGCTAAAGTGGAATATCTGATGAGTATGGTGACTGATAGAATTAAATTCTATCTTTCTATGGATCACAATTCATTAATACAGTGAAAAAACTGCAAGCCAGTGACCTTTCCAATGATCGATGCCTGTGTTCTCAGGATTTTTGCTTTCTATTAATTAGAGTGACCAATTTACAGTCTAGGATATTGGGGAGGAGAGAGGTAAGGCAGGCAGGAGGAAGGGCAAGGAATTCTAGGATGATGGATTGAGAAGGGGTGGGGCAAGAGGTTAGGCAGCAACAACTAACTGAGAAAGAAAGGGGCATGATACTGAAACAGGCTCAGTTAGCAAGGTGCAAGGTAGCAAACTGCGCAGCCTATAAACTGTATTTGAGAAAATGATACATTTCTTAAACTATAGAAATATCATGTAAGTTGACTTAAAATTAAATGTGGTTTCTTACTCCTCAATGTTTTAGTTCGAACTTGCCTTCTGGTATTTATCAAAATGGCAAACACTGCTAGAAGCTAATAATTTTAGGCTGCTTCACACTAGCACCAGATGGCTAGAGTGATTGTGGGCAGTTAGGTTTACCGAGAGAAGAGAGTGTATTGATTTTGGCTAGTTGATACAGGTGCTAATAATATATGGGTGTGACTAAAACTGATTGAGATTTGACATCATCACAACAATACTACCTTTCCCAAAAGGTAT